GGCCTCGCTGAGGACCGGATGTCTGAGTTCAGGCCCAAAGCTGTCCTTCAGCCCTGGCTGGTGGCAGCCATTGGTGACGTCTGAAGTGAGGAGCGATGCTGTGGTCTGTGGTCGTTCCCTCTCCCACCCTCCTGCCTGGAGCTCTCCAGGAGTCCGGGCACCAGGCCACGCCCCTCTCCTACGCCCTGAGATCACTGCCATTTGAAGGCCCCGCCTGAACCCAAAGGCCTTTAGAGCCAGGTCTTCAGGAAAAGCAGCCAGACCCCCGCATAGGCACCCAGGATGGGCTCCCAAAGGCCACCGTGTGAGCCACAGTGAGGGGGCAGCCTCGGGCGTGCGCCTCCCCCTGACGGAGGCTGTGGGCCCTCAGGGTGCCTGGACAGGCACCGGAGGAAACAGGGAGAGGAGCTGCCGGAGGCCAGCAGCCTGGGGTCAGGACCGTCTGCCTTCCCTGTCACTCCGCCAGGGCTCCAGGAACCCTGCTGGGCTGCTCTTCACTGACAGAGAAACCGAGCCTCAGCGAGGACATCCTGGCACTGCTCAGTGGGCAGCGGTGTCGGGCAGGGCGACCGGGGGGGTGTGGACGGAAGGCGTGATGTGCCCGGCAGTGTGAGCGAGCAGTTGCCTGGACCCTCGGTGGGGACACTGCCATGCCTGCAGCGGTGGGGGGTGGTCCCGAGTCAGACACCAAGCCCCAGGCTGTTAAGTTGGAAGTGACTCTAGAGCAGTGGTTCTCAACCTTCCTAATGCCGCGACCCTTCAATACAGTTCCTCATGTTGTGGTGACCCCCAACCATAAAATTATTTTCGTTGCTACTTCATAACTGTAATGTTGCTACTGTTATGAATCGTCATGTAAATATCTGATATGCAGGATGTATTTTCATTGTTACACATTGAACATAATGAAAGCATAGTGATTAATCACAAAAACAATATGTAATTATATATGTGTTTTCCGATGGTCTTAGGCGACCCCTGTGAAAGGGTCGTTCGACCCCCAAAGGGGTCGCGACCCACAGGTTGAGAACCGCTGCTCTAGTGGGAGTGTAGACCTCTGTCCTTACAGGTGAGCCACCGGGGCCAGAGCAAGCCAGGCACTAGCCCAGGGTCACACACAGAATTACTGCAGGACAGGCCCAGGCCTGGGTCTCCTGATGCCCGTCTGAAACCGCCTGTGTGCCCTGAGCACCTGGCCCTGTCCGGCGGCCGAGCGCGGAGACAGTGGGCTTCTGCTGCGCACCTGGAGGCCCTCCCGCCTCCTCCTCAGGGCCCCTAGCTCCCGCCTGTCTCACACCCTCTGGATGGGAGAAGCCTGGGGGTAGGCTGTTGCCCATGGCCAGCTGCTGCCCGCTCCGGCAAACGCGGTGACCTGCGTGGAAGGGGTTGGCCTCTGCCGGAAGAAGCGGCTGACTTCCAGGGAAACGGAGTCACCAATGGGCTTCCCCTGGCAGAGGAGGTTCTGAGCCAGACCCAGTTCTCAGCATCAGAGAGGCTCTCCTCGCCCCTCGCCCGGCCCCTGCCAAGAAGCCTCCACTCACCTGAGCCCCACGTTCTCTGCAGCTCCGTCTGCTCCTCCCCACCGCGCCAGTGCCCTGTGCGCTCACCGGTGTTCCTCAGGCGTTCCTCTGTCTGCGTGTGTCTCTCCCTGAGGGTCAGGGCCCGGGCCTCCTGGTACCTGCGGTGGCTCCCCCACTTCCTCTGACACTGCTTGCTCCCTTCCCTCCTCCCGGGCTGTGGCAGAACCCTCTGCAGGTGCTGTCATCCGTCAGTCCTCCCACGCCCCTCTGCACAGAGGGATAATTCAGACTTTTCCTCCTAAACGGGGTTTTGGGAAAAGTCCTTACTTCGAATGCGATGCAAGCCTGTCTGTCGGGATTGTATTTGACCACGCCTAACAAAACCCATCTAGCCCTGGTTCCAGCTGGTGTGAGCATGGATTGCTCCTTGCAGAATGAGAAGAGGGGGCGTCCAGAGAGGGGAGGGCCTCAGTGATGCCCTCGGAGACCAGCCTCCCCACGGCTCCTCCCTCGGCTGCAGTCTTCGCTGCCTGTCCACAGTCTCCTCCTCCGGGTGGTTGTGTCAGTGTCGCAGGCAGGTGTGAGGGCCAGAGCTGACGGCTGTATGAGAAGGTGGACCCGTAAGGTGTTCACAGGCGCCACATGGGAGGCGTTCCCCTCCTCCTGATGTCCCACTGTCCTGGGGGTGACCAGGCTGGCTTGCCGAGCACCCCACCCCCCACTCTGTGGGACCCTGATGGCGCCTCCTCCCGGAACACTGATTGGGTGGAAGCACAGTGAGCGCTGCTCCCGCTAGAGCATGCTGCGGGGGCCCGCTGGTCAGATCTCCCGTATCTCCGGAGAAGG